AATTTCTCATCAAATATAAAAAAATTAATAATCTAACTAAATTTATTTATAAAACTTATCAATTTTCATATAATATTTTGTTAATAACTTTTTAATAAAATTTTCTTAATAAAGTTGGCCCTCTTTATCCAAAGAGGCCTAAATCCATTACCATGTAAGTGGGGTTAAGGACTTTGTAATGATCAATTACAAGATTAACCTTGGAAAAAAAAAAAACAACAAATAGGCAAATATACATAAACATTTCACAAATGTATAAGTAAATGAACATCTTCCTAGTCCATGCAGGTGACATTGGCAAATAATAACAACATTAATAATCCATCAACGTTAGCATTAACAATAACCAAAATTTATAACATCACACGCATCAATGCCATGTAGAGCACTAGGGAAACACTGGAATTCAACCATTTTGCAAAGACACAATCCATGTTCAAGTCCAACCATGTTCTATGCACCAATTATACACGCAAGATATAGTAATTAGAAAATAGTTAGGGAACAGCAAAGAATGTTATGCTCATAAATGCCAAGGCCAATCTTCAAAGGATGACACAAATGACACAATGTGCAAAAAACTGTATAAACTCTTATTTTATATTTTAGAGGTTAAATATTCTTTTTGTCCTTTTACTATTGAAAAAAATCCTTTTTTATCCTTGTATCAACAAAATCTCATTTGTAGTCGTTAAAGATTGAAATTCGATGCCTTTTTGGTACTTCTGTTAAATCTTTTGATAGATGACAGTTAATTAGCAGACTTATGTGATTTGAAAAATCTACTTTGTAAAAAAAAATGGCGTGGGCATATTTTTAAATTCATGTCAACAACTTTACCCTTCTGACCTTTTTTTTTTAAACCTTGCTAGGTCCGTCGCGAACCCACCCAGGCGCACGCTAGGTTCGCGACGAGCGCACCCCAAACCCAGGCACGAGCTGGGTTCACGATGAACCCAAGACGAACCCAGGCTTGAGCTGGGTTCGTTGCAAACCCAGGCGTGCACCTGGGTTCGTCCTAGGTTCTTAGGTTCTTTGCGAACCCAGCTCTCGCTTGGGTTCGCGAAGCATTCAACGCACGCTTGGGTTCGTCCTAGGTTTGCTGGGTTCTTTGCGAAATCAAGACAAACCCAGGCGCCAGCTGGGTTTGTCGCAAATCCAAGCGCACGCTCATCGTGAACCCACCGCGCGCCTAGGTGGGTTCACGACGAATCCTAGGTTCACGACGAATCCTAGGTTCGCGACGAGCGCACCCCCAAACCCAGGCACGAGCTGGGTTCACGATGAACCCAAGACGAACACAGGCATGAGCTGGGTTCGTTGCAAACCCAGGCGCGCACCTGGGTTCATCCTAGGTTCTTGGGTTCTTTGCGAACCTGGCTCCCGCCTAGGTTCGCGAAGCATTCAGTGCACGCTTGGGTTCGTCTTAGGTTTGCTGGGTTCTTTGCGAAATCAAGACAAACCCAGGCGCCAGCTGGGTTTGTCACAAATCCAAGCGCACACTAGTCGCAAATCCAAGCGCACGCTCATCGTGAACCCACTGTGCGCCTAGGTGGGTTCATGACGAATCCAACAAGGTTAAAAAAGAAAAAGAGTCAAAGGGTAAAGATGTAAACGTGAACTCAAAAATATGTCCATGTTTATTTTTTTAATAAAGTGAATTTTTTATAT